AAAAAAAATTAGATGTTAATGGTTGGCTTTACTCAGAGGATCATTTGATGCCAATATGAAAGCCAAGGAGAGGAGGCAATTATGCACACATCACATGCATCCTAGTTTCAGTATGGAAGCTTACATTTCAAACCTAAATTCAGGAAAATAACATGAAAAGTTTTACTACAAAGTCTAGACATGAGGAAGATTTAAGAGGAGAGGGAGGAAGCACATTGCAGGTGTCAGATAATCTAGTCTGATTATCTGAGCTGTGCTAGCTATAGGGGAACACTTACCCTTCAGTCCAGCTAGAAGTTAGCAGGGTAAGAAGGAACAAACCAGAATAACATAAAGACTAGCAACAAGGCTCAGGAAAGCAGACAGGAGTTCTAACCTAGCAGCTAAAGTTCTTGGGTTCGAGCAAAGATTGAACAAGAAAACTTAAAGAAAACAAAACAAAACAAAAATCAAAATCAACCCCCCCAAAACCAACAGTAACCAAGACCCCCCCCCAAAGCTGAAGACTGTTCAAGTGGTAGCAAAAATAGAACAATTCTCAAAACACCCAACTTTAGGAATCAATGATGTGATTAACAGTTATTAGTTGAAAAACAGACATTAAAGTAAGACTCATTGCAAGTAATATATCAAATAATCATTGACCAAATAATAAAGCTTACAATACCCCCTCCCCATATTCCAACTGAGATGGAGATACCAATTTTAACTGTTTCTCTAATTATAGACTGGACAGGGATCAGGTTTCTTAATGAGAGGCCACTTGACACAGTAAGTTGTGGCAACACTCAACTACAAATTTGGACATCATTTCCAAGGTAAGCAACATAGGTCTTAAAAATTAAAAAAAAAAAATGCAAGTATTTGTTTAAAAAATTGTAGCTAAGCACAGACTTGATCTTTTCAAGTTTTAATAAAAAAGGGAAATAATCAAATCAACAATAACAACACCACCAAAATAACCACAAAAGAACAAAAAAGTTTTAAAGGTTGGTGGAACCCTCCCAAAATCTTTGTAGAGTCACATACAAACTAATGAATAGCAGGATCTATTTTTTTCTGGTTTTTACAATTCTGTATAAATACTCCACTCCATTCTTTCTTAGACGTGTCTTTTCATTTTGAATTTGAGCTTTTGAAATTGCAAAAAATAAAAACTGCACCCAGAAATCTGTTAAACTAAATTTAGAAAGACCCAAATAAACTCGTAATTACTCCCAAGTTTCCCAAACTGTAAAATGTTCCATTCTCAAGTTTCCCTTGAGCAGACAGCGACATGACAAGACTGGAGTGTTTATTTTTCTCTACCCAAAAAAATCTTTCCCATTTCTCTGTAGTTTCCCTTTGCCATGTAAATACTAATAAAGTGATCGCAAAGTTAACTCATTGAAAAGTTGTTGCTTTTAAAAACTATCCACTTACAAGAATGGCAAATACTTTGAGAACATTGAAAAACAGAATTTAAGAAGATGTGTATGCAATTAAGTATTTACAATAACCCTTACCTTTTGGAAGTCAAGAAAACCTTTTTAAAATGCAATACTTGATTTGTTTTTACTCTTTTTGTTACCCAGAGACTGTGATGAACTTAATGTTTGTAATGTGACTTAATTAAAATAAATCAGTGTAAGGATGGCCATCTGTAAGCCAATGATTAACGTTTCTTATTTATGACTATGTGATTGTTTCTCATGTCTCTATACCTTTGCTTGGGAATAGCACATTTCCCCAGGACTTGGGGAGTGGGAGGGCTTTCTGAAGACACAGAAATTTCATGCTAAAACCAGAGAAGTTGTAGGCAAACCTGGTTCAGGTACTCATCATAAGTACGAATCAGTGTTGTGAGTTTGACGGAGTTACCTGTATAGAAGGCCTGGTCTGTTTAATAGTGATGGTTTGAAATTAATCTAGTCTGCATGAAGCTGTGAAGCAATTGTGACATAACCCCCATTCTGTGACAGACTCCACTAAAACTTAATACAGTCACTTCCCCCAGTCTTTTTTGGTTGTTATGCGTAATTATTCAGTGATACCACAGAATGTAAAATTTCTGATTCTGTTTTTGATCTTTCTCATTGTGTTGTATAGTAGCAAGTGAAAACACTACCAGGTGCAGACAGCTGGATTGGTTAAATCCTGACTGATTTCCTCTACTAGTTTCCACATTATGAGTATCCTGGTTCTCTGATTGCATTTTCTACTTAGTGCCTAACCTAGCAATAGAGAGAATCTGAAGTGGTGTTGAGGCTCTGTTTCAGGGGTAGTAAAATAACTCTGGGAATACTGAGTTCAACACTATTGGACTGACACTCTGGGTAAGGACTGTCATTTATTACAGGGTTATGGTGTACGGTTGTATAGACTGGGCACTGTACAACTCAAAAGGTACCATTCACATTTTTATGTGAAAAACAGTGATTTCTTCAGTATACAATCTGCATTGTTGAAAGTGGTGGCCTTATTTTTATAAGACCTGGTAGGTGTGGTAGAGCCTCACCTATTGGGGTGCTTAGACAGTGACTTAGGAGGAAATAGAGAAGATGGTTCATCACCAGGCATTGATAAATCCCAGAGACATGAATTAACTATCTGACCTATTCACTCATTTCTCAGCCTAATTCACATATCCTTTAAGGGCGCTATTATTGAGTGTTAGCTCTTAGAATTTTGCTTTGGTTTTCCCATTTAATAAAAGTTCTTTATGTCAGCTAGAATAGAGACACACATCAAGTCTGTGTGAGTAACAACTGAATTTTCCTGCTAATGTCTAACTAAATGAATCCTATCCACACAGAGAAATCTAAATTAAAAGCCCCTGTGTATTTCTACAAAGAGACACCCAGCCCCCTTTACAGCAGCCTCCATCATTACTCTTATTTTTTAAATCAGTATCTGATTTCCATTCAATTTTGCACCTGAGTGTTCTTCTTCTTTCCTAGATGGACAAAGAAAAGTAGGACTATTCAAAAATCAAGTAGTAATTTCTTAATCTGGGCTGATGGTAGAACAGAGACACTGAATGTAAGGTGAAATGATGTCAGGAGAAATGGAGATTATTTGGAAATAAGAGCAGTATTTTCCAAATATCATCTGAGATAACATGCTTTATGATGCTGATTTGGATGGTGATTGTAACCGGAATTTATTCCCTTGATACAAGGCTAATTCCATTGTAAGGGGATATGATAGGATGTATTGTTTCCATATTTATTAAAAAGAAGCTGGCTGGACAAAGTGGAAGTTGGAATTTCATTGCACAGTTTTTTTTAATTAAATAAACATTGGTTATACTTTATCTCAATGGAAGACTAAAATGTTAGATAAAGATGTTGCCTCCTCTTTTTATTGCTCTCAAATAAACCTAAGTGGTACAGGTGTTAGAGACAAGAAGAGTGTGGAGACCTTGGAGTGAGTTATGGGCAGGAACTGTTGCCTCTTCAACAACTGTTTCCTATCAACAACTTGTTTATTTTTCAGCACTTTTTGTTTGGAATTCCATAATGATTGTGTAGTTATTTTATATTGTTTAACAAGGGAATGCAGGTACCTTTAAGAAATCATTAGTACTAAACAGGAATTCCTGGGAGTAACTAACTGATGGGTAGTATTTGTGATCCAAAGAGTTTTTCCCCATCAGCAAAGTTGTTACAAGGTTTAAAACTAGAGTAAAGTCTTATTAGTCATAATTGAACATGGCAGTGGAATTCACTGAAAAGAAAATTACCCTCTATTTAGTTGCTGTAGCTACAAAATTATTTCATCCATATCCATATTTTCTTTAAAAGCAACAGAGGAGAGACTATGCTAAAGACTATTAAAGGTCAAGTTTCTGCTGTGGGGCCTTTGCACTTGCTTTCATTACTGCTGCAATTTTCTTTCCACAGATATTTGTAGGGCTGACACTCTATCATTTGATCTTTCCCTGATTTTCCTTCTTCCCCAACACAGTCATCATTGCATGACATTTTTCATAGTATTTCTCAATGTTGAAACGATCTTACTGACTTGCTGATTTGGGTGCTCTCCAGACCAGAACAGTGGATACAGTATTCTGATACCAGGACTCTGTATTCATTGTATTCTTCCTTACCTACACAGCTGCTCAATGAACTAAAATGAATGAGAGGGTTCCATCCTAAAGTAATCATCATGATTAATGCTAAAATGACTTTTAGCTGAGGTATTCCTACTGACTGATAGGGTAAGGCAAAAGTCTCTACTTAGGGTGAATGATTGTTACTAAAATTAATTACTTTATTTGGTGCCTTATGTTTCCATTTTCTTTGTCTTAAACATCTCCAAATGTATACTAGCTTCGACTTCATCCTGAGCATCAGAAGTGTTGGAAGATAAAACTATCCTAGATAGCAAGAAGACATACCAAGGGTTAAGAAATTAAAGTGGATGCAGAGGTAAGAGGAGAATAAACTGGGATATGAACTAGGGCTATTTAAGAAGACAGTTTCATTTTTGGGTCCTGATATTTTAGCTCAGAATGGAATTTTAGGTACTATGTTTTTTTGTGTGGTTTTTTTTTTTTCCCACTGCATGTGATAATGTCATCATTTATTTTTAAATGGTTCTAAGTTGCAGATTTAAATTTATTTAAGATCAAGCCCTATTTTAAATTACTTTTAATGGGAAGAAATGAGGCGAGGACATACATAATCTACTATATTTGAAGGACTCAAACAAAAACATGTCTGATCGCGAATTCCAAACTCTCACCAAAACAGAGAGACAAAACTCCACCTAAAATATACCTTCCTTTGTTTAGTACTTGGGGGGAAATGTCAAGTATTGCACTTTAAAATTACTTTTATCTAACAATTCTGTCCCAACTCCACCTTTCTCCCAAATTCACTTGTTTTTTTTTTTTTCCTACAGCAAACATTATTTTATGAATCCTTAATATAAAAGCAACTAAATTTTCTAATTCAACTTGGGAAGATTTAATTTACCCTATCAAGCTATTTTTAACAAATGGCATGTTTACTTACAAAATTGGGAGATGGGCGCATCCAGCTGAGGTACATTCCCTCCCTTGGCATTGAGTTTCTGGACTTGGGTGGGAGGCACAGGCTTGTGTGACTGCCCAGTGGCCCGATACATGGCTTGAACCCACAGAATGCGATCTTGCTCATCATCACTTGCAAATATCACGGTGTCTCCTTCTTTGACTGCATTGAAGAAGGCTCGACCACCCTCCAAGCCTGGAAAAAAGGGAATAAAAAAAATTAAGCTGAGCTGCAATGTTCCTGGCAGGATGGAGCCCTGAAAAGGCAAGTTTCTTTTCCTTGGGCCACAGAGGCGAGGAACAATTTATGTGACTCTAGGTTAGGAAGCCTAATACCCGCTTGGCCACACAGTGGGGTCATGATGTTAACAGGCATATTAAACCTGGCTTTCTCTTTCTTGCTGAGGACAGAGTTATCAAGCAGCCTCCCTGCTGGCTGGGCAAACATCTGCCCAGAAACATACTATTATTTTTCTTATCTTTAAAAACATCTCTTGACCCCACTTTTCCCTTCAGGTACTACCCTACTGTTCTCTTTACAATCTAAGGGGGGAGGGTCTGTACCAGACTTTCAACTTTAGTGCATATGTGAGTCTCCTGGGCATCTTTTTAAAATGTAGCTTCTGATTTAGCAGGTCTGAATAAAGCCTGAGATTCTGCATTTCCAACAAGCTCCCAGATGATGCAGAGAACGGCCTGAGGATTATTCTCCCTGTAGTAAAGGTCTCTCCTGTCTTATTCTGCCTTAAAGCCACTACAATCAGGCTGCTGCCCCACTGAAATTTCCCTATTTCAGTTACTGAATCCAATCATCAATTCAACAGCCTCATTATATTCCATCTATTCACCACATTCGACACTCCATTCTCTTTGAAATGCTTTGTGTACTTGGTTCCAGGTAACCAAATTTCCTCCTCTCTCCATGGCCACTGCTTCCTTTTTTTTTTTTTTTTTTTTAAAGATTTATCCATTTATCTATACAAGCACTGGGCACAGTCAGAAGCATGGGAGGAGCTTCTTTGTCTTGTTTGCTGTTTCCTTCTCCTCTTCCTCACCTTTTAATGTTTGTTAGTGTATCTGGTCATTCTGTTCTTGGACCGCTGCTCCCCCAGTGATACCATCCAGGCTAGAATTCCGTGAACATGCACATGATCCCTACATTTCTATCTCTGTCTCACACAGTGCCTCCCTTGAACTGTACACAAGACTATCTCATGATTTTCTTGACTTCTCCACATAAGTATCTGACAGATATCCAAACTTTATTATACCCAACAAAGAACTCCTGGCTTTTCTCCCAAACCTCCTCTCCATCTAATAAAGATGAACCTGTCCCTCTGGCTGCTCAAGCCCACAACCTTGGGGTTCCTTTTGACTCCTCACTTTCTTTCACTACCTGCTTCCAATGGCATTCTGACATCTTTCCCTTCAGGATATTACTTAGCAACTTGACTTTTGCTTCCACCTCTTGTGATACCATCCCGAATCTAGCCATGCTCCTCTCTCATCTGCATTATATTAGTAGCCTCCTGATGCCGGAATTGTCAGGCCTAGCCTCCCAGCCAGGAACGGATTCCAGGCTGCAGGGCAGCGCTGAGCCCCAGCCACTAGACCCCCACGGGTTGGTGTCTCACGAAGCTGCAGCAGGAACTTCGCAGACGCTCAGGCAAGCAAGCGAGAAGAGGCAGGTTTGTTTAGAAGAAAAAGTTTATTGAGGAGAAAAAGAGCAGAAATAAAGTGGGACTCCCAGGCCAGGGAACCAGGCCTGGGAGGGGCAAGGAAGCCAAAGTGGAATTGTGTTTCAGGGAATATATACCTTTTTTCCCTCATTATTCTAAAACTTTACCAGTCTCTCTGTGATTGGTTAGTTCTCGGCTGTCTCACTTAATTTGCTACTGAGTGGGGATCTTCACATTCCTTATTTAACAGCTTTCTCTTTTCCCATTTGTTGCATCTTTAAATTTATGGCCCAGTCTTCTGGATGGGCATCCCTGCATTGAAGTTAAACAGCTGCCCTTCTAATGTGACCATAAATTAAACCACTCTCCATTTTTCCAATCTCCACCTCCCTTTACCACCTGAAGGAAACCAGGACCAGCATTAACAATGTTGTCCTTGGTCCTGGCATGTTTGTTTTTCCTAATGGAATTGGTTATATTTCTTTGATTGTCCTTATCTCTGAAGCCTCCCTAAATTCTTCAGAGGTCCCCTCCTGCACTGTCCCTAAAACTGCCTAATAACCCTAGCTTGCCCTGTCTCACTCCTATCTGATCTACCCCCGCCCTTATTCCTTATTGTCAATTCTCAACATGGCAGCCAGAATAATCCATTTAGCAGAACAGTCAGGCCGTGTCACTCTGCTGCTCAAAAAATTCCAGTGGCTTTGCATTTGACTCAGAGGCCCCACATGAACTGATACTCCACTACCTGTACTCTCTTTTCCTATTATTCTGTCTCTTTTATACACACAAGCGTACACTTTGTAGTAGCCATACTGGTCCCTGGCTGTTTCCTGTATACTCTATGTACATTCTCACCTCAAGCACTCTGCACTTGCTGTTTCCTGTGCCTTGAACATTCTTCCCCCAGATATGGCATGATTCACACCTTGAGTTCCTTCATGTTTCGCTCATGTGTCATTCTTTTGAGGCTTTCCTCACCCCGGCCCTCATCACTCATGTCTCTTATCTTGATTCCGTTTTCTGCATATAGCTCTCACTGACATTTAACAAACGATATATCTTGCTTTACTTTATAAAGACAAAGACTTTTTGTCTGTTTTGTTCACTGCTGTATCCCTGATAACTAGCACAGTATGTGATATACAGTAAGTGCTAAGCTAATTCTCACTGAGTGAATGATCTATAGGGCCCTCTTTTTCCATAGGCACTTCTCAAGGTTAAACTTCAGAGAAAAGGGAGGTAGAAGCCTTTCTTTCTGAACTCAAGCCTAAGTTACAATTTGTCTGTCAACATATTCCAAAAGCTGGCATTTAGGGGCTACTGGGACTCTCTGATCAGAAATAAAGCCTCACATCTTCATCAGGTTCTGTATCATCCCTCCAATTTTAAAAATTGAGAAAGAATGAATGGTCTATTAACATCTTCAATTTACAACTTACCTTACAGGGAGCAAAACTCCTGACTCTTCTGCTAAATGGATTATTCTCCAGGGACACTGCCTAAACTGTGTGTGATTTCAGTCTCCAGGTGGCAAACTTTACTGTGTATAAGCATCTCCAACACTGCTTATTTGAATATGAGGAGTCTGTCCGCTCTTTTTCTGGCTCACAGGTTAGGAGTGCCCAGAAATTCTATTTCTAACAAGCACTCTTTAAGAAATTGTGAGTTAGACTTTTCTCATGACAATTGTGAGTATTTAAATCTCCATTTTCAATCAAACATTACTTTGGAAATAAATAGGACTTGGCACATGACAGGCAAAGAAGAAGCTGCTTATTATTCTCAAGAACATAATCAATTTACTTCTCATTTACATTTTTGGTAAAGGAATTTATAAATTATATCCCATGCGATCAATGTGAAAAAAGAAAAGAAGCTTTCACAATATACGTGCACAGTGACTCTTTGCATGCAGCTAGCACAGCTTTCTCTCTCCTTCTGACCTCTGCACCAAAAGAAGAAAATCCTGCTTTTAGATGATAAAATAACAACAATAGCTTTGCTGTAGTTGTACATGTTGTTGTGTTTTATCGTCCCAGCCAAAGGGTGACATGGGCTAGCTAGATCCTGAGTGGCCAGCTCCGTTCCTTGTCTTGCCGAAAGGGATTGACAATGCTGGTCGTACCTATTTTGTGCAAGGGGTTGAGGTTGAGGTGAAGTCCAAATGCAATCACGGGGAGGAAAGAACTAGTGAACTGGTTTAAATAAGGTCACAGATAGTATTATTTTTATACTGGTCCATTAGCCTATCACTTTAAAACCCAGGTCTTGGCAAAGAATGAATTTATTTCTCTGAAGGGAATGCAATGGTTTGAGAAGAATGCAAACCATCACAGAATGCCCCAAGGGCAGGTTTTTTAATGCAGGAGCCACATCTTTTCAATGAGATGCTGCCTGAAATGGTTTCAGACTCTTCATTGTATTCATTATGAAGGATTTCCAGGCAGAGCTTTTAATTCAAGCCTTATGTGGTCAACTCTGCTTCATGCTCTGCAGGATGCAAATAATCACCTATGGAAGTCCTAGGGCTTGGGGCAGGTTTGAGTCACTCAGGACTGGGACTCAGAAGGTGCTAATTTTCCTAAGTAGGCTGGGCCTCAGGCCTTTCCTGCCATACCTTTTCAGGTTAGCTTCCCATCTTCTTTCAAACTATGTTTTTCTTTTATGTGTATTTTGTTGCATGTGGAAGAGCAATATGGGAGTAGAAAAAAAGGTTTTGGGCCAAATAATGCAGTATGGTTGGAAATGTTTCCCTTGTGCAGATTTGGCATAAAAATAAACTTCTCTGGGAGAGGGCTGTTGGTGCTGGTTGTTCATTAATATGCTGAAATGATTTCACACCCCCCCCCCATTTTGAAGGTTCTTTGAGGCTGATTTCTATTCATTTTTTCTGGGAAAAAGATAAAATGGGTGTGGGGAGAGGTGTGAGGGGGCGGGATGTAGAACTTATGCAATGTAGAACTTATAAGAAATACTACCATTTGTGTGGTTCTCTTAGTTCCATAAGGTTTAGGAGCTTAGATACTAAGCTTGTAGATTGGTGTCTTCTTAGGACATAAAGACTCTCAGGGAGGGCTTTCTTTCAAGTGCCCTCATTTGAAATTGTATAACTACAATTGTGGATGTAGATGTACAGGGCAGGCTCACTTGAATGTGGAAGCACAATATCTGCCAAGTCACTGGTGAAAAACAATACACACCAACACACCACCCACACACATGCACACACACGTGTCTTTTGTACAAATATAGGACTTTCAGAAATGTCTTTTTAAGTATTCTACCATAGGGTACTTATTTAATGTGGCATAGGCATATAAATGAAAAATTGATTATATTTTCTTTTTGGATTTAAATCAGAAGATCCCTTGAGAAAAACCAAAACCTTTGATCAGGATGGCTTTTATTCAACCATGATATAAGATCAGAGACCGTGACTGTCGTGGTCACCTGACATAGTGCCTAGCATGGAGTCACTACCTACCAAATATGAACTGAAGACTGATCTGAGAAAGGGGGGAATCTTGTGGGTTTATGTCATTGAGAGTGGACAGGTACCTGGCTGGGGGTCGGTGTAATCCACAGTGTAGCCATCCAGCTGTAGAAGTTCCTGAGGCTCTGCTTTTTTCTCCCGGTAACTGCACATGGCAAATGTGTACTGACTGACCTGAAAAGGAAAAGCACAGACTGTGAGACTGGTGTCCTGGAAAAACCTTCCCCATTCAACCACATACTTTCCTGCACTCAGGAGCTGGGTTCAGATTGAATTTTGCCACCTCTTGACTGTGTGATGGGAGCAAGTTACCTAATCTGTCTGGTCCTCTGTTATCTCTAGATTGGATATAATTTGAGAACCTATCTCCTCACTGACTTATCATGAGGACTGAATTCCCAAATAGAATTCACTTAATCTTTTCCTGATGTTTCTTAAGTGTGTGATAAAAGTGAACTATTATCATTATGGCATGACTGTAATTGGCTTAAGCTACGTGGTGACTCTGCCTTTTTTTTTTTTTTTTTTAGGTCCGAACTGGTTGAATAGCAGCAATTTTTAGATTGTGCCAAATAGAAAGATGGCCTGGCTGAGACTACCCTGTTTGCAGGTAGAACACTGGCAGTGCTTTTAGCCCAGACTTAAGGACTAGTCATTTATTTATTTATGCCCCAACTTTTTTTTTTTCTTTTAGCATTTTAGTTTTTTAGGACCAATTCTCAACATCAAACCACATGTTTTGCTCTCCCACCTCCTCTTCCTGAAGGAGAGCTTTTTGTTGCATTGAAAAGTCTTCTCTTCATCTCAGATAAGAACAGGAGTGACATTCTGTCAGAAGTAATGAGTGCGTGATCACTAGGTGCCAGGCACAGTGGAGCCATCTTCAGCCTCTGAAGGCGGTGCCATTGTCACTGGTGCTGTGCTCACTACTGACACAAGGCATACATGCCAGTGCTGGGTGGCACTCTGCAGCTGCAGGCTGGCCTTCAGGACGCTGTTGCTAATGTGCATCCAGACCGGCGTGGATATTTAGTGCTTCTACATCTGGCTCGTCTGCAAGGAGCCCACGGGAGAGCAAACATCCCTCACGCTGCAGGCTAAAAGCTCATGGGCATATGTACCATTCATGGAGGTGAAATGTCGGTGAACACGTGCCACATCTCTCATCTCTCAGTTACCTTTATTACGAGAGACATTTTTCTAAGTGAACTTTGATCCTAGCTGGGGCCATTTCTTAGTCTCCTTCTCCATAGCAAGACTTGTCTTTTTTCTTCAATGGTAGAGGAAATTAAATTGGTGCACTCAAACCCTGGATGCATCTCTTGCACTGTCTCTTGTCTCTGACATGAAGGTCCCAAAGAGGCTCTGGGAGTGTGTCACTGCTTGGTTTATCTACTGCTGCCCTCTGTTGGTTCATGATGAAAACTTTCTTCCTGATTTGAGTTTCTTTAATGCATTTGGTTTACAGAGACTACTTATACTGCAAAGCTCTTGATGAACTTCAAGGGAAAAATAATGCCAGATCACTTAGAATATTTTCAGCACTAGGTATTTACTATTCTTTGTAATAAGCAAAAACCCCAATTACACCTTCTCCTAATAAGCTGGGTTAAGGGTGCATGCTTGGAGGTCACACAAGCTTGGGGTCCCACACCAACTTGGATAAGCTGTCACCTGTCTAGGTCTCAAACTAAGTCCTCATCCATATTTTGCCTGCATTTTATTATTTCTGAAGGATTAATTGAGCAGTGAAAGGCTTTACACAGTGTGTGTGTGACACTCACACAACAAATATTCAATAAATGCAATTATGTGAACAGTTTCCTTGCATTTAGCACTAATATTTTAACAGAGTAGTTGAATAGGTGTGTTTACTACTTGATCCTAATCCTCTGAAGGCAGACCACCAACCCAAGTCATACATCATGGTTGTATTCCACTCCCCATAAGCAAAATCTGCCATAGAAGGACATTCACTAATTTAACCTGATTGGTTCTAGAAAGTTCAGTTCATATAATCCAATAAATAGGTGGTTTTTTTTCCTCCTAAATCTGCTTATGTTTCTCCAAGCATAGCACTAGGCTTTTGCCATCTATTACTGGTTCCATGGGTACCTGATCGCCCAAACGTCCTGGCAGAATATTAATCAAAGATATTCCCAGAAAGGTTGGGTGGTGATTTTTACCTGTCTCTGGCAACATAAGAGATCGTACATTTTGCTAATGTGATGATTACGCAAACAAACAGAGCGTTGCATACACTCACTTGAGATGAATAAAATATCACGACTGAAGGGTGCTACTTCAAGACTCATGAGTTTCCTATTACTACATGTTTGGATTTGGCTGTTTCAGTTGCTTGCTTCTTGGCGTGCTGTGCACTGCTGCCCTCTGCTGGTAATACTGCTGAAGTTGCCTTGACAAACGCAGCTAAAATAAACCTGTCAGTGTATTAGGACCATTTTATTTTGGAGTTTAGCAATTTACTGGAGGAAATAAAGGAGGAGAGAAGAAAAAAATTCTCTTTGAATGTTGTTAGTAATCACAAGTCCTGGGGGAACTTTGAGTTTTCCAGAGTACTTGAAGGGTGAGGGAATAGCATAGGCTTGGCGTTTTGATTTCTTGACTTCTGAGGATAATCTTCAAACTTTTGCTTTAAAAAATGGACCTCTTTGAGGTCCATTCATCTCCTTAGCTCATTTCCCATAATGTACTTAAACTATGGAAAAGTTTGGAATGTTTCTCAAAAAGTGGACTGAGGTCACCTTATTTAGAATGTATGTTGTGGCGGGGCTCTATAAATATGCAGATTCCTTAAGTGAGACCAATGGAATGGGTATCTTAGGTCAGGGTGGGCCTCAGGTACCTTTATTTTGACAATTATTTCATAGATTTTCATAATTGTTCCAAATTTTTCATAATTGTTCCATAGATTTTCATAATTGTTCATAGTGAAAAATAAAGTTTGAGAACTGCTGTTCTAGAAAACTGTCCCATGTAAGTGCTTGGAGTCAGAAGACAACTGTTAGGCTTCACATTTGGCTGCTTCAGAACCATTGACCTTGAGGATATCCTTTATTTATTCCCAGCCTCAGTTTCCCTAATGTGAAATGTGGTTAAGACTTGTCTTCATTTTGGTGACGGTTGTGAAAAGAAGCTTGATGAATTCTCAAAACCTATAAATGTTATATTTATGTATTTATATCTAAGGGACCATATAAATTAAAGCACTGACCATTATTGAAGGAATTGTAGACTATTATGGTTTGTAGAGTGCTAAAAGGAAAAAATATATCAGAAATACATTGGCTGAAAACAAATCAAAAATTGATTTTAACTAGAAATCTCAGGGAGGATTTTAATAGTTCTGTATTAGAGACAAAAAGACCCTGTATGTGTATTAGAGTGTGAGGGGGGATGAATTTTGGAGTCTGATACTGGATGTGTTTTTTTCGTCTTAGACTTTTAAAGCAATATTTGTTGTATTACACCTAATGGAATTCATAACTGTGCTGGAAATTAGGTGTTGACAAATTTATCCAAAAACAGTCCATAGTACCTAACATCTAATAGAAAGAAACACACATCCTGTAATGCATCTGGGTGCGTGTGCTTCCTGTGTGGTGGTCTTCACACTCTCTTCCCAAAGTGCTCCTTCTGAGGCTATTGGAGAGTAGAGGGCAGGCTCGGGAGACTGTTTCCTGTCCCAGAAAGTTCCCCAAACTTGACCAGAGTGATTCTCTTGATTTTCCTTTTGCACTCTGAGTATCAGTGGCAAGGGTTTGCAAGTGGAAAGAAACTGAATATTGTATACAGACTATATTCAATGGTGCATGAGACTGCTGTCAAAGTATGCAGCTGTCGCAGGCTCTGAGGGCCACTCCTCACACTGGCATCCTTCTTTTTAAGCAACCTGAGACATTTTTGCTTTTTCTGAATCGGGCCAGGACTGATGGTCTTGAGTTTCTTATTTTGTAACTATGCTTGTTGCTGCAAAGGGGATGAGTTATTTCTTTATCATATTTAGATAAAGTGCTTATAATTGTGCCCACTTAAATAGTAGAGATAAAAAAAAAGGGGAGGAATCCAAAAATAATACTGTGTTCTAGATAAGTCAACAAAGCTGCTTTCAGTGTTGTAGTGAGTAGGGCAAGAAAGTAAACAGAAGACTTGAGTTTGCATACTGACTCCCTAATACGTTTGTGGTGGGGGCTGTCAAGTCACCTCTGCAGGCTACAGAGACTACTAAGGGAGGATTCTGATTTAAGTTGAGGCAGAAGGAATTGTTTGGGGGCTAAGTGACCCCAATACACTTTGATGGCTCTTTAAAGTTAATGAAGATCACAAGAACATGAAGTGGCTCATGAAATCCTAAAATTCGTCCCTTGTGTCCTTCTGGGAAAGACACTATATTCTTTTATGATTCTCACAAAAGAGCACAGAGCTTGCTTTTTTTGTGTAAAATTCTTATTTTGTCTTGGTAGGACGTTCAGTGCGAAGACCCTAACATGTCTGTTCTAGTTACACTAACTAAAACAAGCATTCTGTCTTTTTCAGTTGAGTATCTATTGTACAGACAGGGCTTCGCAGATATTTTTGGTACATTCTTTTTTGCTCAACAGAACAGTTATCCTTCTGGATGTGAGATGCCTGACCTCATAAATCTTTTGCACAATCTATCAGTATATCCTTCATAAAGTATGTGCCCAATAAACACTGGTCAGTTGATGGTCTGAGGTACTGTTCTCAGGATGAAATGCCCCATTGCTTAGCCATGGATTACTTTGGGGGTTAAGCACAATTCCAAAGATTTCTTTTGGTTAATTTATTATAAGATTCTAGTGTGCCCTGAAGTGATCATAAAAGCTAAAATTACCTCTTGCTTATGGCCAGAGGTATTTTTTTTGTCTTAGTGACATATCAAAGATTTGAACAGTTCTGAAAGGTCTTGGAGAAAGGTGAATTAAAATGAGGCAAAGGCAAATTCCTTTGGAAACTAAAAAAAATTTGATGCAAAAAAACAAGCAAAAAAGGGGGGGTTATGGTGATGGGCATGTATTACAATTCAGGGACATGTACAACTATTTCTGGAAATTTTTTTTCTTTAAGAAATCTCAAGAGGGCAAAGTTACTATTTATTATTAATATATAATTACTATCAACATCTGCTTCTACATCTGTCTCTACATTTACTTAGATGTTCCCTGGTGTTTGGTTAATAATAATGCAATGGGGAAGCTCAAAAGTCGATCAAAAAGAAACATCCTAACTGTTCAGAGAGTAGACTTTAAATGTTCTCCAATTGTATTGACAAGAACAGACAAGAAAAAATACAATAAAATTCATCAGTTACTAGAGTTAGAGATGTATGTGTAAATATAGAAAAAATGTTTACAATGATTTGTGCTAAAAGAAAAAGAAAAGCATCTTGAGAAGCTATGTTTGAAGAGTTTGGTTATTTTTGGTTTAAAAATAAAATCTATGTGGAAAGATATAGTCCAAACTTTTGAACATCATTACAGAAGGTCAGTTAAGACTTTTGAAAGCCCCAGGTATCAATAACAGTAGGCTATTACCCAAAAGGTAATTCAAACTCAAATTACTGGGCAATAAAGCAGATGCAAAGAGTCCAACTATCTTCTGACTTTTCTCATAGTGATTATTAAGTGTTCTTATAAATGCAAGTTGTAAAACAAGGTCAATGTCACTATTGTCCTAATTAGACACTTGCTTCTTCCCTGGGGGTCTTTCAACAATAGCAGAGAATTGGGTGGGGTGGGGTACACTTCTTCTACACATCTTGTATACTTCCATATTCTCAGAATTAAAAAAAAATGAGCATGCATTGATTTTTAACATTTTAAAGTGATGAAAAAATAGGAAAAGGAACACAAGGGAGTTCTGTGAGTCCTGGAAATGTTCTATATCCCTCTGAACAGTGGTTACATGGATATATAATGTGTGAAAATTCACTGAGCTAAATGCTTGAGCTTTCAGCACTTCATGTAAATTTCACATCAATTAAAAAAACATTAATTCTGGGCCTCCCCTGGTGGAGCAGTGGTTGAGCGCTGGGTTGCGAGGCTGCCCTCAGACTCTGCAGCGCCAGTTCGATCCCCGCCACCGGCGAGGGTCCCACAAAAAAAAAAAAAAAATTAGACATAGCTTTAAAAAAAAAATTAATTCTATCAAAGTTTTCATACTGATGGCCTGAAAGACTGAGATTAGCATTGAGGAGTTACCTGCACCAATACAAAAAACCTTTTCTTCCATCTCTTCCAGACATTCTTACCGATGGCCCATAAATACCTAGGGAAAAGGAGAAAGACCAGAGCAGATTAATGCTTCAGTGAGTGTACTGTTTAATGACACTTTACCATGAAGCTGAGCACTCATGACAAGATAGTGCACATGGCTGAGAAACAGAAAGTGGCTTTTGAGTTGTGTGGTTGAGGATGAAGAACAGCAGGCAGAGTTCACTTTCATATAGCGAAGTAACTATGGCCCATCATCAAATTTGACTTAGATTCATTGATTCCAGAAAGTAAGTTAGAAATTGTTACGTTGCAACTTAATTTGTGCATGTGCTAAAAGTCTTTTAGGTAGAAACTCCTGAAAGTTATTACACAAGAGAGGGGAAAAAAAGTGTTAAATCTTACACTACAAGTCTTTCAAACCTTTTGTCAGGTCTCACTCAGTCTCAGACCTTTCCTTGTTTTCTTCAGCTGAAATTCTGGCAAATGAAGGCAAATTACAGAGACGCAGTTTCAAGTTGACAAAGCTGATCCTCCATACCCCTTGCCCTATTTCCAAATGCTCCTTTATCTATGGAAATTTATCTTTCTACTGAAAAATGCAAGAAAGAAGGGTGAAGAACTACCAAGGCACAGTTCAAAGTGCAACCAGGATTTTGATCAGTGTTGCTAATCATTCATTATTTTCCCCATGGTATTAAGGATTGTGTTATATTAAACTGGCACTGATCAAGGAAGTGAGGCCAGTGGCTTTCAGGGTTTACTGGACTAAGCGAGGGAAGATCTGGTCATACCCCAAAACATCCAAATTCTTGAGTTCCATAATGGGCTTGACCTGTCAAAACTAATGGTACAACTTCCAAGTCCTCATTTCACCCAGACTTAGAATTTTCACTTTGTAACATAATAACGATGCACCTAGTTAAAATGTATACTGTCTGACCAATTTCAGTTTCCCCTGGTGACTAGTGGCCTGAATCTACTGAAACCTTTGAGCCAGAACCTGGAATCCTCCTAGACCCTTCTGTTTCCTCATCCTTTGTCTCCTGTGAAGTCCTTCACTCTGTTCAGTTTTTTCACTTCTGTATTTTGGTCCACATATTTGCTTCTATGGAAAACTTTATTGCTAAAAAAATGCTACCATCCTCTGAGCTGTTGGAGAAATGGTGCTGATAGACTATCTCAGCATCGAGTTGCCACAAACCTTCAATTTTGCAAAAAGTGCAATGTCTGCACAGTGCATTAAAGTGGAGCACAATAAAATGAGGTGTGTCTATCTATTTCTATTTAAGATGATCACAGTGGCTGTTATGTGGTCAATGTATTACAGATGGAGAGCCACGAGAGATATCAGGGATCAGTGAGGAAAGGGCTTCAGGGCTTCAGGCAGAAGAAAGGATGGTGGCTGGACAGATATCGAAACCATGGAAACAGCTGAACAGCTGTTAGATTCATTAGTCCTGAGGCTAAACTGATTGGCTCTTTACGTGGACCCTCTAGCTGTCCCAGCCTTCTCAATAGATTAATGTATTCTCGGCAGAAATGGACATAAAAGGGAGTCATAGCCAGAGCTAATGAGAGAGAGGGTTACTGGTCTGGTTAAGAGTATAGTCTTCCAGTTCCAGTTCTATTGGTTACTGAGATGTTGGGCAAGGTGCTTAACTTCTTGATTCCAGCTCTGGAAAGCAGGATTGGTTCCTCTCTCATATGGTTGTTGTGGAGATTAAATGAGATGATGTCTGTGGAGTATAAGATGAGGCAGAGCAGGGAGTCTATGCACAATAAGTTCATCCTTATTATAAAATGTTTCTGCATACAGAGGAAAGTATTTCATTACTAGTAGTAAATAATAGTTATTTATGTGAAAAGAAATCTCTTTGGACGTATGTACACAGGGAAATAAAAGCAATAAAAGACCAGATAAAGCAGATACACATTTCTGTATTTTTAGTAATGATTAGCAAGTTTCTAACAGTCTCACACTTTTCTGGAATTATATCTGGCAGCTACTACTCATGTTCACTTTTCCCTTAGCTTGCATCCACATAAAGAAACTGAAACAATGAACACAGCTACTACATCTCATGTATTTACATTACAGTTTTTCTCTCTTATCTGAAATTAGAGCATTCCTATGAAACCTTTCTTGAACAGAAATGGGGTAAATAGAAGAAGCAATTACCATTCATTATATGCAAACATATTTCAATATTTCCAGATCCCTAATATAACTACCAAATCATACCAAATAACACACAAAACTTAAATAGTACAAGCATATAGCAAAAGCAGGACTGTAGAATAAACACATTACCGATATAAAGTAGGTGCCGGGGAAGGAGCTTGGAGGGAACACCCTCTTGAATGGCTGCAAAGCAAGTGCTGAACACAATTTTTGCTTTTCACCTTTTTTATAAAAGAGTAAATCTTCTTGGAATTTCTCTTGATTAGTGAAACTGCATATTAATATAAGTGTGTGGTAAAAGTGAAGTGGTGCAATGCAAAATTAAGGTGAGGGATTACCTGTATTGATGAGTGCCAGAGCAGATAAAAAGAGTTCACTAGAACCTATCGAATGTAATTCATATTAATTTTTCCTTCAAAATAAAAATATTAGCTGTTGTTTAGTGAAGTTTTAGTAGTCATCTATGCAGGGAATTTACATGAATTTACTGTACCAAAAGGAAGGGTTAAGAGTATGAAATCTGTAGCCATATAGCCTAGGTTTGTTTGTGACCTTGGGCAGTTTATTACACTTATTATACTTCAGTGGGGATAACAAACAGCACCTACCTTAAGGATTGTGAGTATTAAAGTATTTAGTGACATATAACATAAAGTGCTTAGAACAATATCTGGCATGAAGGAAGAACATTCTTAGGTATGTCCTTATGCTGCTATTCCTATTTTACAGTTGAAGAAACTGAGGTTTAGAAATTATAAGTCACTTCTCTAGCTGGTGAAAAATACAGCCAGAGTTTAAACTCAGAAGAGTCTGGTTCTAGAATACCCTATTCACTGTGCTATTTGTTCTGGTATTAAAGATGGTAAACTTTGGTTTCTTTATTGAAAAAGAACATGCCTGACTATTCAAGTAAGCAGAGAAGATTTCTGGTTAAAGCCTTCTGGATGAGAAAGTTGAGTGGAACCAGAGAAAAATTAACAATCCTCCTTTGGAAAGTATCAGTTGGTTTACATGAAGGAAGGGTTTTCCCTCCGAGGTTTCCTCAGAATTTATTGCTAATTTGGCACATACCAGAAGGTGTCAAAACTGAGAAAAACTGAGGGCTGCAATTTACCATTTCTGTCTAGTCAGTTCCAGTTCTGCATTTTCTGAGGTTGAAAATGCTCATTAAACAGAATGCGAAGTACCTGGAGCAGATGGAAGTTCTGTCATTGCAGACATACAGGTGGCTTTCCCCCTCTAGCTCCTTACACCACAGATAGATCTATCTGTGTGGGCAATAGTGGCCCTCAAATCTCTCTTCAGGCCATCTGGATATGTGGAAATCTTGATTGATGAATTGACAAGTCAGCATTCTAGTGTACTGAGCAGAAGTTTAGCCTAGCGGTTCCATCTCAGACGTGGTGTAGAAACACCTATGTGGAAATTCTGACCCTATTAAATGTTCTCTGGTTTAGCTGCTGTGCATGTCAGTTTCCTCATAAAATTGGGGATAACACTGGAACTACTTCAGAGGGTTGTTGTGAGAACTGAAGGAGATGATACATGTCAGGTGTTAAACACAGTAACTGGCACATAGAGTACTCTCTGATGTTAGGCATTGTTGTTATTCTTCATAGTAGTTGCCATAATAAGCAGCTCTAGTAGAAAGGGTATGTAACTAACAACTTTGCAAAGGATTCATCTTGGGATCTTTTATTTGAATTTACATTCCGTTTTGGGGAGTATAGCTGCTGAAAATAAAGTGAGGAGCACATGCCTGCATTTGGAGCTCCAGGTCATGTTTTGCATCATGATTCTTTACATTCTTGCTTGTAGACTTTTCATAAAACTCATGCCAATGGGTGACACTGAATGTCACCCATGGCATGTCATGGGGGATGTCCTTTTGCTGGGACATTTTAGATATATGAGAGGCTAGAGAAAACTACAGAAGACTGAAAAAGAGGAGGAAGGTGCTCTTGGGTCTTCCATGACCCCCTGATCTCAACGTCTAGCTGTTCTGGGACTACTTGAAGGGCAGCACCCATGGTGCTCTATGTAACTGTCACTCGTATATACTAAAGGATAGTCTTCCTTTTTTTTTTTTTTTTTTTTATAGAGGCATGTTTTTTTATTTATTTATTTTTGTTTGTTTGTTTGTTTTGTTTATACATGCACTGGGTACAGTCAGAAGCGCGGGAGGGTGAGAGAATTCACCAGAGCCAGAGCGGGGAGCACAGCAGGCAGAAGGACCGAAGTACACTGCTGAGGGGAGCAGCGGGCGACAGGAGAGGTCTGTGCGCCATGTGGGATCCTCCGCCGGTGGCCGGGAAGCAGCCGGGGATCGAACCGGCGCCGCAGAGGCCGCGGGCAGCTTCGCAACCCAGCGCTCAACCGCTGCGCCACCGGGGAGGCCCGATAGTCTTCCTTTTGATGGTATTTTGTGAATGTAAATGAATTAATAACTCAACTCTGTTTATTAAGTATCTTCTTAGCATTAGTCTTGCAAAAGATGAGAAGTTCAGTAGCTACTCATGAGGAAAATTTTCTATCATGTGTTTTCTCCCAGGATACCTGGGGATGAGCATTCAGTGCAGGGAGAAGAGTATATGGCCCTCTCAGAACAATCTCTTGCTTTTGGTCACTTTACAAGCATTATAGGTAGCTGAGAGGAGATGGGAGCCAGCGACAGGGTTATGGTTCATCTTAGGGGACTGTGGAGCCAGAAGTCACTGGTGGAGAGCCTAGATGAGTTGGTACTGTGTTGGTCTAGTTGGAGATTGATGCTCAGTTGTACAGGAGGAGGTGCTGCTCCTGTTCTTCTTTGTGGCCCTATGCTACCACAGTGCTTGGTGCTGTGCTTGGTACTGTGCAGTCATGAGGCAGGA